AAAATATATTCTTATATACATACACATATATATATTCTTTTATTTCCAGCTGTGATATATTATGATTTATAATAAAAATAAATATTTGGCCTTCGTTCTTATTTTTGGCAGAGCTCCTAAACCCTTAAAATTTCCTAAGTGAGGAGACCAGTACAGTTGTCTTTTGGCTATGTTAATGAGGCTACTTTTGGAAATCACATGAGGATGGTGGCTGGCTGCCAATGTAGCCAACAATGTGATTAGAGAGTTAGAACTTTCAGTCTCACCCTGTCCCCCACCACCATTTCTGTGGAGGAAAGAGGAGCTGGAGATTGAATTCAGTTGTCAATGGCCAATGACTTAATTATGTAGGTAATGAAGGCTCCATAAAACTCCAGAACAAGGTTTGGAGAGCTTCTGGGTTGGTGAATACATGGTGAGGCACAGAGAGTTGTGTGCCTGAAGAGGACATTAAAGCCTCTTTCCCCTTCCCACATACCTTATCCTTTGCATCTCCTCCATCTAGCTTTTCCTGTATTATATCATTTTATAATAAAACCAAAATCTAGTAAGTAAAATGTTTCTCTGTAAGCTACTCTAACAAATTAATCAAGCCCAAGGAGGTGCTCATTAGAACCTCCAAACTATAGCTGGTCTGTCAGAAGTACAGATAACAAATTGGGGAACAAGCAGTCTTATAGGCCCGAGCCCTTAATCTGTGTGATCTGGTGCTATCTCCCAGTAGACAGTGTTAGAATTGAGTTGAGCTATAGAATAGCTAGCTGATATAATTGGTTGTGATGTAGAGTACCACTACTGTACAGGAGAATTGGTTGCAAAATCTTAGTTGGTAATCAGATATAGACCAGTGCCAGGATTGTACCAGGCAACTGGAGTTTTTCTAGTTATCTTTAATGAGATTGACTTCTACGTTAAATATATAAGGTTTAGAGAAACTGCTCTTCTTGATTAAAACAATATGAAACTTGTTGGGGCTTTCCTTCTGGCCCCTCTGTAATAGTCTATATGCAGATGAATCCAATTTAGCCACTTTTGAGTTTAGTATTCCTTTTCTTTATATATATAATGGATCTAGTTTATTATTTATGTATTGAAAATATTATCCTGCAGATTTACTGTCTGTGTTTACTATCACTATTAAGAGAATTGGGTTAAATTCTCCCTCTTGGTGATTGTGGATTGTCTATCTCCATAATATTCCTTATATATTTGAAGTTATATTAGTGGATGCTTACATATTTAGGATGTCCTATCTCCGAATGATTTTTTTTTTATCATTACAAAATATTCCTCCTTATTTCTAGCAACATTTGGACCTCAAAGTCTTCATTATTGGACAATAGGAATTAACACTAAATTAATTTTTTTAATATTGCATAAAATTATTTTTCAAATTTTTATATCTTCTAGGTCTTTATTTTTAAATTGTTTTTAGAAAAGAGTATTCTACTAGATTTTATACTTCTAGATTTTTACATCATGAAATATGTCAGTCTTTTACTTATTTAATGTAATTTATTTTAAATAGGCCTTATATTTACCATAGTTGTTATTTTTCCCATTTTCACATATCTGCATTGTTTCCCTCACTTGCCTATATCTACAGTAATCAAATACCATTTATTATGCTTTTTTATTCAATTTCTTATATTTCATAATCTTATCATTTTCATAGTTACCTTAAAAGTGGTGGCATGCATTTTCAATGTCACGTAGCACAATCCATATCATTAATTTACCTCTTCCCAGTACTGCTAGCTGCTTAGACCTGTTAACTTAATTTGCATGCCTCCCAGCTTTTGTGATAAATATGCTTGCATTTTGTTCTGTACATATTTACAATCCATGAGATAGTATTGTTACATTAATTTAAATTATTTTATCCACATATTTAGTGTTTTTTTGTGTATTTTATACTCCCCTGCACATTCATGCTTCTTCCTGGTATCATGTTTTTATTGACTGAAAAGAAACATATTTCTTTGTATGGTAACTGCTGGCAATGATTTGTTTACCAAAAGAAAGTTTTGTTCTTCTTTATTCTTGAAGGTTGTTTTTAAAAACTAAAGAATTCTAATTTGACAATTATATTTATAGAATAAATATCTTATTCGATTATCATTCAGACTTTTTGTTGAGGTCAGCCAACTATTTAATTGTTATTCCTTTTAAGATATGATATTATATATCTGGCTGCTTTTAAGATTTTTCAGTGTCTCGTTTTCAGGTTTGACTATGATATTTTTAGGTGTGTGTTTGTGTTTTTATACTGGTTGAAATTCACTGAGTTATTCGAAGTAATGAGATGATGTGTTTCCATGTTTCTGAGGAATTCTCTGACTTATATTATTTCTATTCTATTATCTTTCTCCTCAACTGGAGACTCTAATGATTTTAGGTTTATTGATATGTTTTACATATTACTTATCTTAATCTTTAATATTTTTGCCATGTGTGTAACTGATTTTTTTCAATGACTATTCTTCCAGTTAACTGATAGTTAATTGAACAATGAAATCTATAATTCCAAGTGCTTACCAATTTCCTAAATTTAGATATTTTATTTTTCCAGCTCTAGACTATGTATTTGATAACCTTGAATAGATTCTAATTTTCTGGTGACATGAATCAATCTTCTTTCACATAGTTAATTTGTTTTTCTTTCAGTTTCTTTAAAATAGTAATCATGGTGGGTTTTCGTTCATTATCATCTTTTCCACTCTCTGGATCATCTTTTAGTTAGATGACTTCTAGCTTCTCTTTTATTGCTTTTTTGTTGTTTTCTCTTTATTATTGGCCATAATGACTTCCTCTTCATATATGTGATTTTTTAAAAAAAATTATTTATTTACTTGAGAGAGTGAAAGAGCATGAGAGGGGAGAGGGTCAGAGGGAGAAGCAGACTCCCTGATGGGCAGGGACCCTGATTCAAGACTGGATCCTTGAGACTCCAGGATCATGACCTGAGCCGAAGGCAGTCGCTTAACCAACTGAGCCACATATGTGCCCCAGTGTGATAATTTTTATTGTCTACTACATGTTATATATAAAGAACCATAGGAGTATAGGATAGAGTTAACTTTGACTTCATAAGTTTTAATCTTTCTTATGTTTGGAAAATAGTCTGAGTGATTAATTGCAACACAATTAGCAATTGAGTTTGGTCAGAAAATATTGTAGTTTTAGCAAGATACATATATCCTACTGTACCTTCTATTGAGAGCCCATATGTCTCTATTTTCTCAGCTATAAAATTAATTGGTGATTGATTATGTTCTGATATTCAAAACGTCCAAACTCAATTCTCTACCCTATATTCCAATCTCCTTCAAAATCAGGCTAATATTTTAAAGGGAAGGCAGTACATATCATTTAGGAAAATTCCCTTCCACTGGGTCTTTGTCCCCTGAGTACAACAGATTATAGATATTTCTTCCTTTAAGGGCTTCAACCTGTCTCCCTAGCCTCCCACAGAGGACTTAAAATCAGCAGATGTGATGTAGAGAAACTTATTTTGAATTTGATGTCTGTTAAGTGTCAAATCTATCAACCTGTTCTCTTTTATACACTAGAGTTTTCAGATTTCTCTTTCTTCAACAGAGGTCTTCTAACAGGGATGGCCAAATTGATCTTTACTTTTTATTCAGACTAATCACATTATTGGGAACAGACACTTTTGTTTGAGGGGAAAAAGTATTGACATTTCTCACTGTTTTCCTTTCTTTGTAGTTTTTAAGTCTTTTAACCTTCATTTCCTTCACTTTAAAAATATAATTAAAAAATGTGTTTGGTATTATACAATTGTTTTTATAGTTGTTTTCTGAGGGGGGAAAAAAAAACAAAACACTTATCTCCCAAGACCTACCTAGAATTGAAAGCATTCTCTTTATCTCATTTCATAACCTAAGAAACCCCCAAATTTGAGAGACAACTGTTATTATCATCTTATCCTGTCTTTTTTTGGTTGGAAAATTGCAATAAAAAATTTAAGTAATTTACTCAAGGTGGTAAAGGTCAGTGGTAAAGAAAATCTCAAACAAAAATTTCTGACACTTCCTCACTTTCATTTCCCTCATTATACCAAGATTAGTACTGTCACAGTCAGGAATCGGTCAGAAAAAGTAAAACCACATCAATGATTTCAGAGGGACAGAATTAAGTATAAGAATTGGGTAAACATATATGGAAGAACAGAACAAGTTTAGGGAGACATTGTCCTGCTAACTGGCAAGTGGCCATGAAATATTAACTGTAATTTCATTCAAAGAGTTGAGGAGCAAAGGGAAAAGCTTAGGGGTTACTTAAATCTAAAAGACTGTAGGGCTGACTGCATGGATCTGACACTCAGAACTCTGAGGGTAGGTTCTGCTGAGCTGGTAAAGATTTGGGATATTAGTAGAAAGCTCAAAGATCTGAGACTCAGAACTCTGAGGATGACACACCAGACAGCTATGCTGGTATTTCTCAGGCTAACAATGAAGTTGAAGTGGAGAAAATTAAAATATATTTAAATATATATACACAAACAAATGTTTTAGTTATATATATATATATATATATATATATATATATATACATATATATATATAAAATACATAATATATTACATATAATAATATATTATATATGATAGTATACATATATATATGAACTAAGTATAGCTGCTGGTGTAAAACCTTATTGAGGTGATATTGACACATGGAAAACAAATAAGATTCCCAGATTTCCAAACTCTCACTCATTCTCCCTGTTGCAGATCTCTATGGGAAGTGGCCTGGTACAGCAGGAATGTGGCCCAAGCAATGCAGTGTACAAAATAGGAAGGGGATTTGAAGCTGAGAAGCAATAACTTAAAAAATTGTACACAACCCATGTGCCATGTTTTCTCCCAGAAAATTTTTTTTAAAACCCAAATTTTAGGAAAAATTAGTCTTCTAATTTCTTAATATAATGAAGAGTAAGTAGAAATATTCCAGGGATTCCCTTTTTTTAATGCATAATTATTTAGGTGCACTTTTTACGCTTGATGACTTTTGTTTCCCACTTTGACTCTGGCGAACTGATATGCTGGATTGACTCTGAACATTTTGCTGTGGTTTTGCAGTCTGACTTGGAGACTTTGGAGCCTTTTGAGGTGTCTTTTCAGTCCCACTCGGAGCCTTTTGAGGTGGCTTTGCAGTCCCACTAGGAGCCTTTTGCGCTGGCTTTGCAGTCCCACTCGAAGCCTTTTGCGCTGGCTTTGCAGTCCCACTCGAAGCCTTTCGCGCTGGCGTTGCAGTCCCACGTGGAGCCTTTTGCGCTGGCTTTGCAGTCCCACTCGGAGCCTTTTGCGCTGGCGTTGCAGTCCCACTCGGAGCCTTTTGCGCTGGCTTTTCAGTACCACTTGGAGCCTTTTGCGCTGGCGTTGCAGTCCCACTCGGAACCTTTTGCTCTGGCTTTGCAGGTTGAGTCGGAACTTTTTCCTCCTTTTTTCTCTTCAGACAAAGGCAAAGAAGACAACATAATAAGAGAAGCAACCATAAAAGCGAGAACCATAACACATAACTTTTGTTAAACTTTTCTCTCTTAGGGGGTGGGCCACTATCAACGCTACCTCCATTGCCCCTTACTAGGCAGTTGGGTGGGTCCCACATATAGTTGCAATGGCAGTGATGTCTGTTGTTGCAAATGCCCCTCATGTTGCAGAACTCAGGTGAACAATTACTATCCAAGCGAGATATATGGACACACTTCCTGTCAATGCAGAGGTGTTCTTCACCACACCCTGTGCCATCTTGTACTTCACCAATATCAGGTTTGGGCATCCCAAAGTGGTAGTCGAGACCCCAGCAGGTGACCTCATTGAAGTGATACTGATGCACAGTAGAATGATCCCTCAAAAGGGGAATTTCTCTCACATTCGTACACTGAACTCTCCCACACAGGATGTCTGAGATATTACATTTTACATATGAAGACTGGTTGATACCACAGTTACCAAAACGGTCACCAAGAGTGTTTACATTTTTGTAGCAATTTTGACTTGCACTCTTTGCCTCTGGGCCAAAAATCTGCTTACACAGATCATTGCGGTCGTTACATCTCTTCTCATAGCAATAGGCACTTTCATTACAAGGAATTCCATCCTCCACATACACATCATCTGGGCACTGAGGAGATGATCCATCACACCACTCTGGAAGGTCACATTCATTGGCCTCTCTTCTACACATTTCTCCAGATGGTAATAACTGGCAGTCTTTGCAACAAAGTCCGTGAGCACAAGTAGACCCATAAGTCATAGTGCAGTTTGATAGACAACAGGCATCTTTTGCACAATTCTGTAAAGGTCCACAGTCACACTCCTCTTCTTCTTCAACAATACCATCCCCACAGCGCTTCTTTGAAAATATATCCTTTGTGTATATCTCGTAGAGCATACATTTTGCTTCATGTATAGTATATAACCAAAAAAAAGAAAGACTACAATTGCTAAATGTTGTTATTGGTGGGTTTGAAGTATGCATTATACATCTTAAGTGTCCACATGTACAAAAATCACCATCATGAAACATACCCAAATTATGGCCAATATGATGAGCTACTGCAATTCCAACCAAGGTCAAGGACCTGTTTAACATAGTAACAATTGCACAACTATAACGTGGTTGACACATCCCTCTAACATAACCTAAACCACTCATTCCTCTTACTGGTTTATGCATAAAAAGATGTGCAGTATCATGTGGCAGGCGGGGAGCAAGGTTATCATTTTTCCAAATGCAAAAATATTTCAGAGATCTCCTTATATCATTAACTTCAATGTAGTTTTTTTTAGTCCAGAACTCCATACCAAACAATAACAATCTAATACCTAATATCTCATAAATGGAATCTGCTATATTTATGATAGTATATAGCTCTTCAGTATACTTTGAAATATTCTTTTTTATATGAAGATATAGAGTATGGTCCACCACCACTACTAGTTCAACAATAAAAAAATGGCGCCACCAGCTCCCATAACCAGTTTGCTTCTGAGTGAAATTATTAATCTCTTGAGACTCCAGTTGGGGTAAAATTTCCTCTAGCACAAAGTCAGAGTTCATTTCTGAAAACTGAGACTCCTCACTCTCCATTTTAAATATCAAATGTTCAAATTTAGTAGAAAAAGTCATGGGCTTAATTTCATAAGCACTGTCATTTATCTGTAACAATCCTCGGAAGCCACCAAAACAGGAACTGAGGGCAACCAAGGATTCTGGGTCCCCCTCCACATAACCGTGATAGTAGCAGTCATGGTGAACAAAGGGTTGGTCCTCAAGGAGAGCACCTTGGTCTGTGTAGGTGAACACTGGGAGGTGCCTGGACAGCAAATACTTCTTGACCTTTATGTGGACAATGTGTCTCTTGCCCCCAAAATGCAGGCTGTAAGAGAGCCAGTCTGAAGGCTTCATGCCTCTGCCAGTGCCAAGTATCTTCAAAGGAATCACCACTTCTGGGGGACTGTGGTATCTGGAGTGGTCAGCCTCGGTGTGTCCACAAAAGGACAGAAACACCCCAAGCCAGTACAGCAGAAGTATGATCCTCATGTCCAGCAGAGCTTTAATCATAGTCATTATAAAATCACCACTATGTAAACACTAGTCCAGAGAAGAAGGCAGGCAAAACTGACAGTCATAGATGCTCTGGCTTCTTAGCCTGAGCTGGTCAGTGTGCAGGGCTAATTACTGAGGATCTGTCTTCTGGCAGAGTTGAACCATTAGAATATCAGCCCTGTAAGTAAAGCATGTGGATGAAAGTGGTTATGCCTGGTGGAGAAAAAGAGAGAGGCACGAAATAAAAGTAGTTAGTGTTTTGATCAAGGAATGATTCAGGAAACTTCCTAGATTTGTTCTTACATATTGACAGAGCAGAGAGGGGCTGAGGGTATGTAAAAGAATGAAAACTGGCCATAGATTTATAGTTAGTAAACCTAGTGCTTTTGACCAGAACACACACTATCTTGATAATAATAACAATTCAGTGTGTGAACACAATGTGAAAGGAAAATAAGGTTGGGAATGATGATGGGAAAATAAGGATTTATTGTGTTACTATATAAATATGCATATCACGAACATTTCCAAAATAAGTAATTAAAACAAAAGGGTCTTGAGGGTAAAATGATCATATATTGCTGAGATTGTTTCAATTTATACATGTTAAGTTAACATAAGTAATAATACCTATTCTTTTTTTCAAAATCAAGGGATAACTTACTTATTCCATAGGAGACTTTTTTTTTTTTTTTTAAGCACTCTGATGTTATTCTTTCATCTTCTTTATGGTGCTTACCATACACTACCCAAGAGCAAAAATGTTTATCTCAATTTCTTTTTTTTCTTCCCTTATTCTCCTTACTAGGCTTTTCAGACTGGAAATACTCGAGAGCATTATTGTGTCTTTCACAAATGTTAATATATCCTATAATGTCTGTGTTAATTCTTTATATAACAAAAATGATTGACTTGACTTTTATTGTTCCTTGGAGTGTTACTCAAAAGTGTTTATTACATTTTCAATGCAGAACATTGTTTGAAAATTGTGGCCAATTATGTTTGTGGAACAAGATCCTATAAATTCAGTTTCCTTGTTTATTGCCTCTAAATTCAACTAAGTACCCTGAAAATAATTCAATGATAAAAAGTAAAACAACCTCTGAAAGCTAAAAATCAAAAGGCAGATTGGCTAGAGACCTCAAGGCTTGAGGATTGATAACCAGGTGAATTCACTGAGTTTTCTTTTAATTCCTCATATATAGACCAAATTGGGTACTGGGGAGGTCTTTAACATAGAACCACAAGCATAGACCAAAAAAACTCAAGAACAGTTTGCTCTTTCTGAATGAATGACAGAGAATGAAAAAAAAAAAAAAAAAACCACAATAAAAAGCCAAAAAGGTGTTCTAGCACCTGCTCTTGAGCCAAGACACATGTGTGATTCAGAGTGGCAACTTCAAAGACTTATAGGTCAATGCAAAATAAAGTCCATAGTCAGTGCACTGGTGGACTGTTTAACCCCCCTACTTTGACAGTATAATAGCCCTGAAAGGCAAGCCTAATCCTCATCAATATCCAGGTAACTTCAGAGGCAGCAACAAAATCCCAAGAATCTGACCCAATTTCAGCTCAAAAACTAAAGAAGAAAATAGGAGTCTCCATTATAAAGCTTGGTATCTCCCACCTCTCCACCAAGAGACATAAAGAGACAGAAATTCTGGCTTCTGTTCCTCCTGTCTCCAGGTCTAAGCATGGCTCAATGACACCAGGTAGTCCACAAAAGGCATCAGACTAGATCAAGCAGAAAAAAAGGATCACTGGACTCCTACAGGTTATGGCTAATTATTTAGTCAAAAGAGAGACAAAGACTGGAAAAGAATGAAGAAAATAAATGACTTGTAGAACACCAGCAAGAAGACCAAGATATATGTGATGGAAGTACCCAAATAAGAAGAGAAAGGACCAGAAAACTCATTCAAAGAAATAATGGCTAAAAATTTCCCAAATCTAAGGAATGAAATGGGCATCCAGATGCACAAAGCCCAAAATATCTCAAATAAGAAGAACCAAAGAAATCCATCCCAAGACTTACTATAATCAAATTACAAAAGGTCAACACAAAAAATTTTGAAAGTGGCAAGAGAGAGCAATATGCCACATTCAAAAGAATCACCATAAGACTATGCGTGAAATTTTGAACAGAAGTTTTGCAGATCTGGAGGCAGTGAAATGATGTAGTCAAAATGTTTAAAGGAAAAAAAAAAAACAAACCTGTCATCCAAGAATACTATATTTGGGAGAATAGTCTTTTAAAATAAAGGAGACATAAAGATATACCCAGACAAACAAAAGTTAAGGGAGTTTATCACTATTAAAACTGCCTTATGAGAGATGCTAAAATGAGTTTTTCATGTTGGAAAGAAAAGGATGCTAAATAGCAACATGAGAGGGTAAAGAAATGAAAGACAAATATATGCATTCATATCCATATATAATATATATATTAATATATACATACATATATTCATACATATACATATATATGAATATGATATTACTCTGTAGTGAGTAAAGCACTTTTAACTCTAGTATAAAAGAGATAAAAGTATTCAAAATAATTATAACTCTAAACCATGTCAAAAGATACACAATAAGAATAGATGTAAACTGTGGCAATAAGATAAAATGCAAGCTGAAGGAAAGATAAAGTATAGAATTTTGGTATGTGATTGAGCTTAAGTTATTATCAGCTTAACATAGGCCACCTTAACTATAAGATATGTTATATAAGCCCCAAGGTAACCCCCCAACATACACATTATAGAAATTACAGACAAATAAAGATAAAGGAACCAATGACCATAAATATGCAAACAGAAAATCAACAAAACACAATGGAAGATGAGAGGAAAAGACCAAAAAAAAAAAGTAAGATTAATAGAAAAGTAACAAAATATCAATATTAAATTGTTCCTTATTGATAATTTAAAATTAAACTCCTCATCGGAAGAGACAAAGTGACTGAACGGATTTGTTTATTCATGACTGAATGGATTTAAAAAATAAGGCTTAATGGCAACCTCCTTGACCTCAGCTGCAGCAACTTCTTCTTAGAAACATCACCAAAGGCAGGGGAGGCAAGGGCAAAAATGAACTATTGAGACTTCATCATGATCAAAAGCTTTGCACAGCAAAGGAAACAGTTAACAAAACCAAAAGACAACCGACAGAATAGGAAAAGATATGTGCAAATGACATAACAGATAAAAGGGTAGTATCCAAAATCTATAAAGAACTTAACAAACTCAACACCCAAGAACAAATAATCTAATCAAGAAATGGACAGAAGACATGAACAGACATTTCTGCAAAGAAGACATCCAGATGGCCAACAGACACATGAAAAATTGCTCAACATCAGCCAGCATCAGGAAAATACAAATCAAAACCACAGTGAGATACCACCTTACACCAGTCAGAATGGCTAAAATTAACAAGTAAGGAGATGACAGGTGTTGGTGAGAATGTGGAGAATGGGGAGCCCTCCTACACTGTTGGTGGGAATGCAAGCTGGTGCAGCCACTCTGTAAAACACTATGGAGTTTCTTGAAAATTGAAAATAGAGCTACCTATAACCCAGCAATTGCACTACTGGGTATTTACCCTAAAGATACAAATGTAGTGATCCGAAGGGGTGCGTGCACTCCAATATTTATAGCAGCAATGTCTACAACAGCTTCACTATGGAAGGAGCCTAAATGTCCATCAACAGAAGAATGGATAAAGAAGATGTGGTATATTTATACAATGGAATATTATGCAACCATCAAAAACCCCCAAAATCTTGCCATTTGCAATGATGTGGATGGAACTAGAGGGTATTATGCTGAGTGAAATAAGTGAGAGAAAGACAATTATCATATGATCTCACTGGTATGATGAATTTGAGAAATGAGACAGGGGATCATAGGGGAAGGGAGGGAAAAATGAATGAAACCACAGAGGGAGACAAACCAAACTCTTAATCTCAGGAAACAAAATGAGGGCTGCTAGAGGGGAAGGATGGGGTGGCAGGGTGATGGACATTAGGGAGGGTATGTGCTATATTGAGTTCTGTGAATTGTGTAAGACTGATGAATCACAGACCTGTACCCTGAAACAAATAATACATTATATGTTAATAAAAAAATAAGGCTCAATATATGCTGTGTAGAAAAAAAACTCATTTTAAATTAAAAAATAAAACGCAAACTAAAAGTAAATATGGATAAAGATATTCTATGTAAATGGTCACCAAAAGAGAGAGGAAATGACTACACTTGTATCTGATAGAAGAGAGTCTAAGTCAAAACTGACATAAGAAATGCATACATATATACATATATATGCATCTAAAGTAAATATTCACAGAACAGAAGGAAAAGTAGATAGTGTTACAATAATAGTAGGACGCTTCAATACCCCACTTTCAATACATGACAGAACCTCTAGACTACATATCAACAAGGAAATAAAGGACTTAAATAGCACCACTAACCAAATCTACCTAAGAGACATATACAGAATATTCTACCCAATAGCAGCAGGATACACATTATTCTCAAGTACCCATGGATATTTCTCCAAAATAGATTACACATTTGGTCACAAAAATAATCTTAACAAATTTAAAATTTTGAAATTACACTAAGGTATATTTTGTAATCATAATGGAATAAAACTAGACATCAAAAGCAGAAGGAAAAGCAGAAAATTCACAAGTGGGTTGAAAAATTAAAACATATTCTGGAACAGCATGGGTCAACAAAGAAATCAGAAAATAAACTAGAAAATACCTTGAGACAAATAAAAATGAAAACACACATACTAAATGTTATGGGATGAAGGAAAAGTTGCAATAGAAGTAAAGTTCATAGTGATAGATACCTCAAGAAATAAGGAAAACCTCAAATAATTATGTACCTCAAGGAACTAGGAAAAGAACAAACAAAACTGAAAGCTGATAGAAGGAGGGAAATAACAAAGGTCTAGAGCAGAAATAAATGAAATAGAGACTTAAAAGATTATAAAAAAGATCA